ATAGGGGAGAGTCATGATCGCCCACTTACTGAGGAGACACTGCACATAAAGAAGATGTAATGTTTAATATGCGTATAAAATAATATTAACACGGAGAAAATATCTGATAAACTGTCTGTTTCAATTGGAATAGGCACGTTCTAATCCTGACCTCATTTATACACTATGCGTGTGTTTGAACTGAATTTGAATCGTAGCGTTCTAAAAAAAAAAAAAAAATGCAATGATGTGTAAGGTATTAACGGAGAGTTATGGAGATATTCAAGTTGGGGAAAATTTATAAATTATAATTAATATAGTATAAAATGTTTGATATGACAGACAACCGATATCTTCGTCTGTCGAAATAGACTATTCCCCGAACGAATTGCAAATCGGAGATATTAAAATCACATGTTACAGAATGTGAAAGCCAAGGCCAGAATGGTCAGCGATTGACCGGAGTGTCTCGTAGGCGGGGGAATTCTGGCAATGATAGATCGTCTTTGTCTGGGTTTTGAATATAAGTTCAAAACAGTTTCAAAAGAGGGTCTCAATAATTCTAAAGCGTCGATATGCCTCCCACATCCAGGTTTGTGACCAGCTAACACACGTGACGACCTTGAAAAATGGAAATAAAGAAAAGAGAATTTATTTAGAGCTGCTAAAGACAGGAAATTGGGTAGAGTCATGATCGCCCACTTACTGAGGAGACACTGCACATAAAGAAGTTGTAATGTTTAATATGCGTATAAAATAATATTAACACGGAAAAAATATCTGATAAACTTTCTGTTTCAATTGGAATCTGTGACACGTTCTAATCCTGACCTCATTTATACACTATGAATTAATTTTGATGATCCCGTTTTATGTAATGGCGCGAGAATCCTGAAACAAAACAGGACGCAACCCAAAATTTTAAATAACTGTTTAGTGCTTTAGCAGAGGACGGAGTGTTTGACACTGAGATCAGAAGGCAAATTTGGATAGCAGTCAAAGATGCCTTCGCAAAGCTAAGCAGAGTATTAAGAAATAGAAAAAAACTTCGATATAAACAACCAAAAGAGTCTTTCTTTCATATGTGCGATGTCCTTTCAGGACGTAGGCGATCATAGCTCTCCAACTTCATCTATCCCTTGCAGATCTCAACAAGTTCCTTCTGTGGTAGTTTTTTGTGTATATTATTTACTAGTGAGTAAGCCCAAATGACTTGACTCACTTTATAGTCCACCAGTCGAAGGTTAACCAATCAGAAGACGTAGAATATTCAATCCGTCGTGTATAAAGGCGGCCATTTTGTTTACTCTATCCGAATGTCCAGTTCCAGCTTGTCAGGCGAAGAGGAACAGAAGGAAGAACTACGCTCTGCTACTTTTACCAAAATATCCACTGCTCACCTGAACAACGCTTCCCTACTGTCTTCAAAATATTCACTGCTAACCTCTGGATTCTATACTCAAAGACGACCGTCATCATGAACAACACCTTCCCTCTAACACTTCCCCACCAAACCACGTTCTGTCATCCACTTGCTTAAGCCCGCCAAGTATATCATACGTTGTTTTCTTTTGTCTCTCTTTCCCTCTATTTGACCTGTGAGTATCAGATTCTGCAGGCCCTTCTTCCTCATTATGTACTCCAGGGACTTCAACTGCCTCTTCCTGATGTTAAGTATAAGCCTCTTGCTTGCATCCTCTCTAAGACCTCATCGTTGCTCACACGCTCGGTCCATGATATCGTTAGCATCCTTCTGCAGAACCACATCACTTTCGCCTCGGGTCTCTTGTTCATCTTTGAGGAAATTGTCCAACATTTGCTACCGTAAAAAAGGACGAATGTCATTTAACAGCTCAGTATTCACTGAACTGTTACGTGATATCTCTCTTCCTGTAATGGCAGTGAGTACTGGACTATCACCTCAAAGATGAAGTAAATTTCTTGAAGCAAAATAATTTTGATTCTACAGAAGGATACCGAGAATACCATGAACAATATATATTTTTTAACAAACTTATCAAGGCTGCGTGACTTCCGTGTGTGCACAACCATCTATGAATTCGAAACTGTTCCCTTTACGCAATTTAACTCACAATATTTGGGTTAACCAGTGGTATGGTTTTTCCGAAGTTTTCCAAGGAAGCCGCGTCCATGGTGAGATCCAGGTTTCCTGGTCAGAAAACCGAACGTTGCAAGTACTCAACAAGGCGCTCATAAAATGCAATAAGGAGATTAAAAGGCAGGATGTGTGTGTGTGTGTGTGTATAACGAATGCACGGCCGAAATTTTTGACGGATTTGCACCAACATTTACATGCACATGCTCCAAGTTAGCGGAAAGGACAAGACCGACTTTGTATTTCTTAACTCCCATCGATAGTAGAAATAATCGATTTTTACATGCTTCTACGGCAGTTTTCATGTAGTTTGTGGCCATTTTGTACTGGCCAGAGTGAGAGTCAATAGCTGGCTGCCACGAATAGGCAGGAAGATTCTATTGGCCAGCGTGAGAGCTAACAGCTGACTGACACGAATGTTAACTAGTATGCTAGCATACCAAAAAAATCGATAGCTGCATTCGTCAAAAAAATTTAAATCTGCATGGCACTTTACTCCAATTGGCTCATTCGCATGCTTAAACTTAACGTTGATTCTGATTCCGCAGAACTGGGTTGGGTGTGAAAAAGTATTTGTTGTTAACATTCTTTTTTCATTCGGTTTTTCCAGTTACGAGTCCTTTTTTAAAGCTTATCATTTTGTGTTCATTTTGTTTAGTTCTTTTTTCGTAACAGATTTAATGTTTAGTATAGAGCTTAGAAAAAATTCTCCGTGTTAGAGAGGCAAGAAGTAAGGCATGTAGCAACATCAGCACGGCAAAGGGCACTTCTTTAAAGGTAAGGAAGGGCAAAAATATTTTAAGTCAAGTGATAGCGATTGCTGTATGAGTCGTACGATTTTTGAATCAAGCACGGGCAACGCCGGGCCATGCTGCTAGTATATATATATATATATATATATATATATATATATATATATATATATATTGATGAAAGAAGAGCGAAGAGATGAGGGAAGGAAAACAACAGAAGGAAAGCAAGAGAAGAAATGGAAGGAAAAAAGAAAACAGAAATGGATGGCTGGAATTAAAAATGGAAGGAATTTAAGAAGAAGCTGGATAAATTTAGGGAACAAAAAAGAAATGAATTTCGGAAATAATACAGAAGTAGACGAAGCAAAAAGAGAATAAATGAAAAAGGAAAATACGAATTATAAAAGTAAAACAAAACAAGAAGACAAAAAAGCAATTACAAGCGAAAAATAATGAATAATGGAGAAACATAAGAAAAAAAATATGTTTCGTTTGTTTAGTTTTACGGCATATCGAACTCAATGGGTCATTCAAGGCCGACAAGATTTTCAAAAATGTATTGCTGGTAATAATTTTTTTCCAAAAATATATTATTGATATTAAAACCTAATTTTAAACTTTCATAGTCTTTTGCCCTCAGTTTTGGGGTTAACTATTTGCCCATAGCATGGCCCCTAACAGATACTACCACCCCGGGTCAAGGTGTTTCTTGGAACACTAGCAATTAAGAGGTGCTTCCATACACCTCAAAACCTCCTGAGCAGAGGCCTTGCTGCTGGATGTACTTTATCGTCATACCCAGGATACACAAAAAAGGAAAAATGAAAAAGAAGAAGAACTGAAAATGAATAAAAAAAATAAGAAAAACAGGAGGTAAAAAATAGAAGGGAGGAAGATGCTGGTAATATTTTTAGTTTAAAATGTTTGCTGGTAATATATTTTTTTTATCAAAAATGCATTGGTGGCAATATCTTTTTCTGAAATGTTTTGCTGGTAATATTTTTTTCTAAAACGTATTGCTGGTAATAATGTATTGTTGGTAATAATTTTAAAAAAATGTATTGCTAATACTAAAACCTATTTTTATATTTTAATAATGTTCTGATCCCAATTTGGGGGTTAACTATTTGCCCATATCTGCGACCCTAACAGATGCTACCACCCGGGATCACGGCATACCTGTGAACACAAGCAATTAAGAGGTGGTTCCACGTTCCTCAAAAGCTCCTCATCAGAGGTCTTGCGCTCGGATATAGTTTATCGTCTTACCCAAGACGGGGATAGTTTATCGCCATATCCAGGACGGAAATGCGGTTCGTATAATAAAAAAAAATATGCGTAGGAATGTATACAACTGGTTATTAGTCATGTCAGTAGAAATACAAATAAAATGAATGAAAATATAAATTTTATTTAAAGAGAAGAAGAAGCTATAAAATAAGGTAAGAAATCAGAATAAAAAAATGCATAGGAAAGGATTTTGAAAGGGACGTAAAATTCCCCAGTAAGAAACACTAGCCGAAATCTTGCAAATATTGGAATATCGCGGAGTAACGAGATCACCAAAAAAAAAAGGGGTTACAGCAAAATACATTCGTAAAAGTAAGAAAAAGTCAACGTTATATATATAAAAAAAAAAATGGAAAAGATAAGAAATTATAATAAAAGGAAAAGTAAAAAAAACGAAACTCTAGAAGAAAGACTTAAAGGAAAAAAAAAATAATTAGATAAACTAAAGTAGAAAAGTAAAAGCAATTCAAAAGGGAAACAAATAATGAATAAATAAATAAATAAACAAAAACTTCGATGTAAAATAAGGAAAACAAGACGCCTTAATGAATAGGCGGACTCACTGTCCGCCATTTTGTCTGTGTCATCAATCAACTGTGACCGGAAGTGAACATCGGAGGATGAGTATTTTTGTTTATTTCCTTTTATTTTTTTGTTACATTTAATGTTTTTAATCATTGCCAAATTACTTTGTTCTTTATATGTCCATTGACCAATGATAAAGTAGGGTTGGTGTCTTTTCTTTTTTTTTTTAAATATTAATGTCCAGTGTATTTTTTTTTCTCTTGGCACTATTAACGTTTACTTCTGAATCATCTTGAAGTGCTACTGGTAATTTAAATGATGGGCAAAGCAGTGGGAACGAACCGCTAAGGATGAAATGAAAGAGAAAAGGAAGGCAAAGGAAATATGAAATTTCTGGCACATAAACGAGAGGGCTTTCATGTGTAACAATTGGCTGGTGGCAGAGAGATGGCCGGAGGGATACATGCAAACTGAGATCAAACCAGCGGGGAGGGGCTTGAAGTCCGACCCATTTTATTCATCTATCATTTACATTTACAAGTGGCATAAACAGACAAGATGAAGGCGCCAACTCATGAAGGTGGCGTAACAGTTAGCATAGACAAAAACGGAAACAACAGGCTTAGTTCAAATTCTAACTGAAGCTGTTACACACACACACACATATAGTCGACTCTCCCGTCGAGTTCGACGCATGAGCGTCAAGCAGATCAGTTCCCAGGAAACCGAGAGCCCTACAACGACACATGAGATTTGGTTATAGTGGTGAAGGTTTCGTGCAGGACCAGACATATTTTTTGAAGGGCCGAATTTAGAGAGACCTGGTGCACTAAGTACGACAAGGTTCCCAAACGACCCTCCGCGGGTGTTGAATTCAGAGGCACGGTAGAATAATGGATAGCGAGCTTGGATTGAGGAATCGCAGAGCCGAGTTCGAATTCCAGTCGAATCCATTACATTCACTTACGTGCTAATACCCTTGGAAAAGGTATTAATCCTCTTCTTCTTCCTCCAGCTATGGGTAAATAGCAAGACAGACTGGGTTCTACAGCCTTGGATGGCAGCTGTTCTAGGAGAAGGACAACTCTGAATATATATATATATATATATATATATATATATATATATATTACTATATAGGAATAAAATGTTGCTGCCGACATTTGTGTTTGAACACAGATCACCAGAGAGCAAGCACAGTCGACCTCATTTTGAAATAATTTGATCACGTGACGGGTAAAAGAAAAATATATGCATGAGAATTAGCAGCGCCTGACCGATTATTGTTCAAAAGCGTTACTATTACCGTATCTGTAATTTAATAATAATAATATATATATATATATATATATATATATATATACCTGTACCTGTAACGGCATTCACCCGAGGTGGGTTGAGTCGGCTCCAATATTGGAGTTTTATGGGAATTTGGAATTCACAAGCGGTCCCCAACCAGCATGTATAGCACATGAGATTTGATTATAGTGGTGAAGGTTTCTTGCAGGACCATCCACACTTTTTGAAGTGCCGATTACAGAGACCTGGTGCACTACGTGCCACAAGGTCCCCAAACGACCCTCCGCAGGTTTTGAATTCAGAGTTTTCCTTCTTCTAGACCAGTTGCCAGTTGCTTATGCGATTATGGTATCTTTTTAAAAAATTCCTTGAGTAGAACCAATATAAACTTTTTTGTTCTCACTACTGCTGTTGGATTTATTTCTGTATACATCCACTTTGTAAACTATGTATTCATGTTGGCACTTACCTTTAAGTGGGTAAGACGCCATATTTCCTGCAGTTACATATATATATATATATATATATATATATATATATATATATATAATAATCAAGAAGGAATCGACCCTATTTTAAAAATGGAAATAATAAGGAAATGCTATTAATACAAAACCGGCAATAGATATTGCCTTTTATGGATGGGGGAAAAACTAGCAATAGATACTTTTAGTAAGTCGGGTATATTACTTAACCAAAGATCAGAAATCTTCAGCAGGTGTAAGCGTAAGAAAGTATGGTCCTTTTTCATATCCTCTTCAGCCAGTTCCCCATGAAGATCCTTTCAGGTGAAACTTAGGTAGGTAGATTTTTTTTGTCACTAGGATTTTTATACTCTGCTCTACTAAGTGTATTGAGCACTTTACGTTTATTCTTATTTTATTTTTGTTACCTATTTAACTAGAGATGTGACCTGATGAACCAGGAGAAATATATTTTCTGGGGAAATAAATTATAGTCATGGAACCTTAAAGTTGTCTCTTTCTTAATTATTTTATTAATATTTGTTCTGGTGTTACATTGAGCTTTGTGGATTACATCCTCTTTGGAAATATCCACACGGATTACCATAACTTTCATTACTATTATATATATATTACTATATATATATATATATATATATATTAACGTCCCGGGTATGACGATAAACTACATCCGCGTTCCGGGTAAGATGATAAATTACGTCCAACGGCAAGGCTTCTGGTCATGACTTTTTGAGGAGCATGGAACCACCTCTTAGTTGACCCGGGGTGGTAGCACCTGTTAGGGTCCCAGCTATGGGCATATAGTTGTGTAAAAATAGGTGTTAATAGCAGAAATACTTTGTAATAAAAAAATTATTACAGCAATAAATTTTGAAGGAAAAATTATTATCAGCAATACTTAAAAAAAATACCAGCAATAGAAATAATTATACATTCTTTCAAAAAAATATGACCAGCTATAGATTTCTTCAAGGAAAAATATTCCCAGAAATAGATTTTTAAAGAAAAACATATTATCAGCAATAAATATTTTGTCGGTATTAAATAACTCTTTCAGGTTTATATGCCGTAAAACAAATCAAACATACCAAAATATACTGAGATAGATAGATAGATAGATAGATAGATAGATAGATAGATAGATAAAAAATATTATCAGCAATAAAAATCTCGTCGGCATAAATAACCCATTGAGGTTGATATGCCGTAAAACAAAACAAACCATACCAATATATACTGAGATAGATAGATAGATAGATAGATAGATAGATAAAAAAATATTATCAGCAATGAAAAATTTTGTCGGCATTAAATAACCCATTGAGGTGCTGATATGCCGTAAAACAAACCAAAGCAAACCAATATATACTGAGATAGATAGATAAAAAAAATTATCAGCAATAAAAATTTTGTCGGCATTAAATAACCCATTGAGGTGTTGATATACCGTAAAACAAACCAAAGCAAAGCAAACCAAACCATATTTATCTTAATGCAGACCTCTACTAATCCACAAAAATTATGGTAGCTATTTCAGAGCAATATAGAAGCTGTTCAGATTCCCTTGCAAAACTATTTTCAACGCTGAAATGTGTATGATATCAAAACTAACACACATATACACATCCATTTTTATTGTTATTGAATTTATTTTTATTTTCTCTTGAACGCATATGCTTACACGATGGACGATCTTAATTTTCGCATTCTTCTTTTTGCTTTTTTTCTTTAAAAACAATTTTTCATCTTTTCGAATTTATTTGATTGCCAACGAAATTGCAAAACATATCGCTTCTCAGCAGAGACAAGATTAATTTTTGGTAAATAAGACCAGTTCTGAATTCAAGAGGCAGAGAAATGCGTATTCCTTATCCGGTAATATTTGAAGAAAATAAAATAACTTCCCAATTTGCACTAGAAGGAACCATACTGGCGCCCACCGTTCAGGTTCAACTGCCCACGTGATAATAAATCTAAACCTCTGATATGGAAATCGTGACAGAAACTTGACAGCAAAGGCTAGTGATATTTATAACCAACGACCCTATTTATTGTCAGAGAAGACGTCCACATATTTATATATACTATTACACTGAGATGAAGTTAGGCGAGATACAAGCAGAAAGATTCTGTGTGTAGGTATATATATATATATATATATATATATATATATATATATATATATATATATATAATATTAGTGGTAAATATACACATATGCAAAATATATATACATAGGTGCATACACATACATGTATATTTTTTGAATAAAAAATTCCAAGAGGATAGAATCCAGGTAGAACTCAATGTCCAGGACAGAGTAAAGACATAATACAAAGGCTTAAACACTAATATTCCATGGTCATAATTTATTCCATTGGAATCGTAAATATGATCCAATTCATCAGACCTACAAAGTGAAAAATTTTTTGAATTTGTAGGTCTGATGAATTGATCGTATTTACGATTCCAATGGAAATAAATTATGTCCATGGTATATTAGTGTTTTAGCTTTTTATATTTTATATATATATATATATATATATATATATATATATATATATATATAAAATGAGGAAAAATAAGAAGAACAAGCAACATATGTTTTTTGTTTTTGTTTTTTTCAACCCCAAGCAAGGCGGGAAGCCACTAGCACGCAAGGGGTTACCGATAGTTGTAGCGAGAGCAAATAGGGGTGATAGAGGAAAGGATGAAGAGACGGTCAGGGGACAGATCAGGGCATCTGGAGACGTCGATTGACGTTAAATTTGAATAGTTGGAGATTATAGCTATCAGGGAAACAGGAAGAGGGGAGGGAGTTCCACAGGCGAGAAGTGCGGGACATGAAGCTACTGAAGTAGAAGAGACGGCTACATTTAACAGTTTCGACAGTGAAAAGGTGAGAGCGAGATGCCGGCCTAGTTGAACGCTTAAATTCATGAAGTCTGGGAACCAGCAAAAGCAGCTCATCGGAGCAGTTACCGTAAAAGTATGTGTAAAAAACGACAGAGGGAGGCAACGGCACGTCTGTGAGAGAGCGGCTGCAGACGAGATGTGAAATCAGGGCCAATTAGATTGCATATCTCTCCTTGGATTTTATCAAGGTCCTTGAGACAAATAGAAGGGTCTGCATACCGTATATGGCAGCAATACTCCATGCAAGGGCGTTCCTCTTTCTTCTTTTTGCTATTTCTTCTAAAACTTGTTCAGCCATCCATTTACTCGAGATCACTAAATAGGTAATGCTTTGTTTTCCTTTGGCCCTATTGCCTCCAATCGGCCCTGTGTCTATCGTAATTTCCAAACTCTCTTTCCTCATTATGTCCTAGAAATGTAAACTGACTGTTTCTGATGTTAAGTATAAGTTTCCTTTTGTATCTGTCTATATTTCCGAGATGAGGTATTATGTACACTATTTACATTATTCAAGCTATTGTAGTCATCTTTGTCGCCATATTTATTACAACGGCACAGTGAATAAAGGCGTTGGTTAGATCCAGTGACAGGACCCAAAGAGTGTGAGTTCAATACCTGGTTAAGGCGGTGGAGAACTTGGAAAGGGGAATTAACAAGAGATAACTGATAACTGACATCCATTAGACATGGCACGTGGAACTAGAACAGTCTATCCCAGTGAACGAAATAAAGGCTTCAGTTCCAACTACCTGAGAATGCCGGAGCATACAACGGCCAAAACGTTGTAATAAACATGGTGACAAAGATGAGGAAAATAGTCTGAATAGTGTAAATAGTGAAGTTTCCTTTTTGTTTCCATTGTTCAGATTTCTTTAAAAAAAAAGAAAAAAAAGAAGTTAGAATTAATTTATTTAACAAATGTATTTATATTGACAAATCCCTGCGACGAAATGTCCATCTGAATTGTGTAATTGGGGTTTCATTTTTGTAATTCACTTACATGCTCTCTCTCTCTCTCTCTCTCTCTCTCTATCTATCTATCTATCTATCTATCTATATATATATATATATATATATATATATATATATATATGAAATGGACAAAGTCCGGAAATTATTTTAAGACATTTTTTATGTTTATACATTCTATTTATTATAAACAGAGCATTTACTTAAATATTTGTATCTATAAAAAGAATTTATAAACATAAAAAATGTCTTAAAATAATTGTCGGACTTTGTCCATTTCATAACGTGTGACGTCATTTGTTTACATTTGGACACGCCATGGGCAGATGAATGTACGTGAGAGGTTCATGGAAGATTGAAGTTTAAAAGTAGTAAATTCGACCTTGCTAACCGAACGCTCCTCTGTGGCCAAATTGGTAAAGGCACGTCAAGCTAAATGACGGTTCCGTATAGGATACAGGTTCGAATCCTGTCGGAAAACGAATATTTTCTGTGAAAATTTCTCGGACATTCAGGCCGTTAAATGTTGTTTCATGCTGTTTATTATAAACAGAGCATTTACTTAAATACTTGTATCTATAAAAAGACTGTTAAAAATGTCTTTATATATATATGTGTGTGTTTATTTAGGCAGCAATCCTTCTTTCATGCACATTTCATTGAATACGGCAGACAAGGTGCTTTTATTTAGTTTTTATACAATTTCTCATGCGATCTGATAATATCCTGACGATGTTTTGAAAAATGAAACATTCTATAAAACATACATACAACAAACTATTTCTTATTTAACAATTAAAATAATTAATCCTTGAAAATGGCTAAATGTATGGCCGAAAGTGCTCGGAATAAATGGACATACGGATAGTTTTTATATAATTTATCATCCGAAAAGAAAAAATATTAGATCGCTTGAGAAATTGTATAAAAGAATAAATAAAAGCACCTTTTCTGTCGTGTTCAATAAAATGTGCATATATATATATATATATATATATATATATATATATATATATATATATATATATATGTAGATAGATAGATATTGATAATATTATATTATATATAGATAGATAGATATTGATAATATTAGTGTAAAATTTTGAATTTGTAAGTCTGATGATTTGGATCGTATTTACGATTCCATTGGAATAAATTATCACCATGGAATAAATATTAGTTTAAGCCTTTTTTAATATATATATATATATATATATATATATATATATATATATATATATATATATATATATATATATATAGTTGTTTTTTTATACTATTTATATTCAGACTATTGTCCTCATTTTTATTGATTTCCCCTACACACTGAAAACTAACCTACGCAGTGTTCACACATGCCTTTGCGCATAAAATATCCAGAAAGGAAAATGGCTGCCGACCGAGTCAAAATATTTAAAGACAATATTGTCGCACAAGACATTTCGAGATATACGAAGTAGTTTCCAGATGACACGAAACCATATTGCTGGGGAGTGGCGGGGCTTTAACAAAACGAATGATTTGAGCTGTTGTTGCTGGTGCAACATGGCGGTAGTTTTAATCTATTGTTGCTAACGCAAATTGTTCGTGATTTGTTTCCTTTTGGTGTTCGCAACGAACTTGCTTGCCACTGACGGTAGAGACTTTGCCAACACACTTAGTTTCAGTTGTCGCGACGTTTCGACCGGTGTGCCCCAGACCTTCCTCAGGCGCATATCGATCTAAGTAACCCACAAGGAATTTGGAACCGAACTTTTTATTTCCACATTACAATTTCTCGTCGCCAGCCTATCTCTATTCTACCGCTATTTCCATGGGAAATGTTCCTTAGTTCCATTAGTTTAGACATTTACATCTGTTACCCACCATGCAATGTGTATAGAGTTAACATCCTCATTCTCTTCGTATCAATTTTGTAAGGAGGACGTTCCATTCAAACAGCTGTTTTGCTAGGACTCCTGAGGGGATGCTTCCTGATCTCTTCAAGTCATAACCTCCCCAAGTCTTAGGACAACATTTATCTATACTGCATATCCTCATAATCAGCAACTAGTTCCTCCTCTTATCTCACTACAACAACTTCCTTTAGTAAAACTCTAACTTGAGTAGCACCTGAGTCTTGTATCCTTCTTATTATTCTATGACATCTTCCTTCAGGGCGTTGTCGATCATAGATTTTCATAATTTCCCATCCTTTGTAGTAAATTGTGTCTGAAGAAAATTAAGGCCTTTAAAAGGGTGAAAGAACTCTGGACGAGTCAGCATCGAAGTAACTAGTGGTGGTGTCTCAATAAAATCACTGTGCAAAAGCCAAAGTGAAACTACTTTATTGTAAATCCCAAGAAAAGTCATGGCTCTTAAAAATGGATTTGATAGGATAACGGAGTTAAATGGATTAGGTCGAGTAGAAGTAACTGCTCATCCGATAAGGAAAGA